TAGTATAATATATCTATCATTTGTCGATTTACTCTTATTTCGACAGGTAAATAACCTTTTTAATTCATACGACCATAAAAACATAAATTAAAATCGTATCAAAATTCACGAACGTAATTAAAAGCGTTGGTCCAAACCTAACGTAGGTTAAGTTATTAACAGCTCAAGATGAACTGGGGTAAAGTTGTAAATTAATGCACTAATTCGGGCAGCGAGCTTCCCCATCTGGGGAGTAATCGATCAAGTAACAAGGCGTCGGGCCGTCATCCGTCAGATGCCCCGCTTGTACAAAATTCCCATCACAAATTGCATTCGGGTGGAAAGCTTTAATTATTTCATTAGTTGCCCGAGAGGATGTACAAACAGGTGTACGTCGATTTTCATTAAAATGAGTTATTCGCTACCCTGATATATTTTAATACTAGCTTTCGCCGCGATTCCATCAGCGTAGAATAAAAAAAAAACAAAAGTGAGTAGCATATGTGTTTTTCCACACTATCTTCTACATGTATACCAAATTTCATCGAAATCCGTTCAGCCGTTTAGGCTACAAACTCTACATCAATCCATCCATCCATCCATCCATCTAAACTTTCACATTTCTAATATAAGTATGCAGTATGATAGATTTTATTAAGAGAATCAATGTGTAATCTATTCTTAATTATTATGGCTAAAATATATTTTGATAGCAAAAGAATTAGTACTCAAAAATAAGAATTTTCTTTGACTTCAATATATAAGTATTATTATGGAAACATACGATTGGCAGAGAAGAAATTTTAATAAATTAAGTAACATAGTATGAGCTTCTTCACTATGACTAAGCAACTTTATAAATAAGCCAAAATCTTCGATAACTTAAGTTGTTCAAAACCAATTTCGCGCCTGAATTTGACTGTAATTAATAAACTTCAGATTAGCGGCGAATTAATTAGTCAAGTTATCAAGTAAACTGTAGCTTATATCAATTTAGAGTTTATTTTTTATGCTTTGCCCATAATATCCATATAGAAAAAGTATTCTTCTCTACAACAAAGTAGTTGCATATTTTTGCTATGACAACTGTTTAGAAGCGCTTTGATTTCTATGAGCTTATATGAAGGTGCGCATACTACTCGATTTTAGCTGTGCAACTAAATTGTTGAAATGGCTGCGAAACAATCGACAATCGCACAACACCAACAATAAGCGATCAAATATAAGACGGCAGTTGTAATTAAACGGTCTAGGGATGTGCTTTGGTTTTACGCACATATAAAGTCAATTTTTAATCTCTGTTAATCTGTGTAATCCGCTTAGATAGTATTGTGCAGTTTTAACTAAAGAATGAAGGACTGTGTTCCTGATATTACGCGACTATTATTTCATTTCCTCTGACATATGTACGCCTACAATGAAGGATAAGTTACTGTGTCTATGATCTACATTAAAAAAAATTCTACACGCCGCTCGTTACTCCGTCAAATATGTGAATCTACCCTTCCGCTAGCGCCCCCTATTGTGGTGGGCTAGATAACAATAGGTTTCGGTGTATTGTCCGCTTGGCTCTGCTCTCGCGGATTGTATACGGTTTTAGATTAAACTTCTTTTCAATCTAACTCCAGATTAGAATATGTACGTATTGTTTTATAACATGCACTACGATGAATATCTTGTATTTATACACACGAAAAGAGAACACACATGTATGTTTGTTCTAAAAGTTATTTTTATATGCTTTCATTTAGAAATTAATGTTAATGTTTAATTACTGCATGTTTGGAAGACGTAGACCTTACATGAGCGGGATAAGCACATTTCGATGTGCATACCAAATCGTTCTTTCTTCCATCTTCTTAGTCATCACTACCTTCTTAATCACGCAACACATTTCTTTCCAGGCTTACCACTACTGGTTTACGTCTACATTCATAATTCAATTCTACTCTCAATTCGGTTCCATCCTAACATGCCCTCGATACTTCAATATACATATTTAAAAAGTCTATCGATATACATGTCACTTTCATGCAGACACAAATAAACTTATCACCATACTCAGTCTATATGATCGTACTAATTAAGCACATAAACTCAATAGACCGTTTTCGAGTTCCTGCGGTAGACGTGGTTGGCTCCAATAACGTAAGCCTATTGATCGTGCTATTAATAATACACTAGCTATTGGCTGTGACTTCGAGCGTAATTAAATAAAGAATTCTGTGCGATTCTAGACTGTAACATTTCGTTGTTGCACAGTTCATCCAGATTTTTATTCTTTATGGAGTTATCTGATAACAAGCATCCACCCAAATATAGAAACACTAGCATTGGCCCGCGACTACGTCCGCGTGGAATTAAAAAAGCCAAAAGTAAATAGCCTATGTGTTCTTTCAGGGTATCCTTTAAGTCTGTGTCAAATTTCATTGAGATCTATTCAGCCGTTTAGGCTACAAACTCTAACAAACATCCATCCATCTAAACTTTCGCATTTATAATATAAGTAAGATTTAATTTACAGTAATATTAATGTCTTCCGCGACTCCGTCTATGCGAAATGAAAAAAACATAATTAGTAGCCTATGTATTCATCCAGACTATGTTCAACATCCGTTATTCGTCCGAGATCCGTTATTCCGATAATGATAAGTAATAACAAATAAAGAATAGACATTTACATCTCTACAAAAAGAACGTTACGAAAAACGTCATTTTGTAATTTATTTACACTGTTCCTGTTAAATAATTCATTCTTCTATTGTTGAGTCGGCTCCGTTGCCAAAATTTTAACTAATTGAAGTTGAAATATGTAGTCATTAGTGAACCATCAATCACGGTGTCAGACGAGTGCTAATATACTTTAATACGCTGCAGTCCGTAACAAGACACTATGAGTACAAAATCAGCCCTTAAATCAAGCACCATGTAGTTTACAAAGGCTGGTATAATCTTAGTGTGGACACATAGAGCTAGATCAACGATAAAGATTAAAAAGACTAAATAATGCGGGATTGTTTTTTAGTAACATGGCGTAATGGAAAACAAACAAGTACAGTTTGATACATAAGATAGTTTTTTCTTTATAAGAGAGGGGAAAAACGAGCAGCGGGAACACCGAGATGTCTTCTGTTTTCTCTTTACGCTAAAAGGATACAAGGCTACAAAGATAGAGGAAGACTGTAGAAAGTATGTATGGATTGTGTTGAACAGTGCGTAAGAAGGGAGTTAAGTCAGATATGACTGATAGAGATGTATGGAAGAGTACATACTGTGGCGACCTACCGTAGGAACAGGGACAATGGTTGATGAGGAGGAATCTAAGGACTGTCTATTACCGTGAGTCTCGATTGTATTTGTTTTTTTTTATTTATGACCTATATTGCTTTTATCAGTCGAGCTTTAGGTAAATGACTATCGTATCATTACGCGCTGCATAGCTTGGTTTTTACCTTCTAAAAGGTGAGAAATTAATAGACAATAAACATCGCTGGTAGATACACGTGCGATTGCGATAGACGTTCTGCCACGTGAACAGAATAAAACTAAAATAAAAAACAAAAAAACAACTGTGACACGCGACAGAAATCGGCGAGTCAACCTTCATATAATTACGCCATAAAACGCTATTGGGGGTGACCGCTACGAACATCCAATTTAGTGGGTTTATTGGGCGACAAAACAGATATTTCCTGTCTGTGCCCTCTTTTATTACTGTGACTTTTTTAACGTATATAGATACTGGAAACGACATGGATTAATTCACACTTACGTCTAAACAAAGCGATACATAAAAGCTATGCAATAAAAAATAACCTACGATAGTTATCATTACTAAGATGTTATTTTTCTTGTCTCAATTTTTCGTACAATTAATGTTTAATTCAAAACAATCGAGCTACGCTCAGACATTAATTATAACATTAAGACACTTCCATTGGTGTTTGTTCGTTGGTTCAGACCGCGCCCTTAGTTGAGTGCGAATCGAAATCGAGAGGGGGGCGTAGTGTGCTGACCTCACGTCTGACACTTGCCTCTTTTTGTTTATACGTTGCTTATGTTATATTAATATGCAAACTATCGAATTGTTCAAACGACAAATAAGCATTTGAAAACAATTTGAATTTTCTAATAATTCTGACAATTCTACATGAATTTAGCGATATCAGATTTAAAATTATTTTTTTATCAACATATTTTGTCATATTTCTTTATCTGACATGCCCTAATAATTATGAATTATTTAACCTTTTTGGACTACATTAATTAAATTAAAGCTATACCAACAATGTTTTTAAACTAAATTTAGCATTGTCTATCTCATTTTTATTATTAAAAACCTATTTTTTTACTGAAAACGCTAGTGTCATATTCCCTTTGTCTGATTTCTTTGTAAAACGCTCGTTAGGTCCACTAAGATATATTAGACACTAGCTACATTAAGGAAGTGAGTCAGCCAGCTCGTTACAAGCTTTTAAGGTAAACGAAACAGCTACTTAAGTATACGCCGTATTTTTAACACCAAAATCTTGCATCTTGTAATTAAATTTAAATAATTTTAACAAAACCTTTCAGTTGTTATCTATATTAAGAGGAAATATTTGTATTTTTGGATTTTTGTATGTATTGAAATAATTCAGTAGTTATCAGTTTAAAATAGGCTACATTTTTAATTCTCCGCGGGCGAAGTCGCGAGCAACAGTTAGTTCTAAAATAAATACATAGGAGTGTTTTTATAAATGTAAGTAATTGAGGCACACAATGTTATTTCTAGAAGTCAATAAACTGTTCATACAATAAAAATAGCTGTGATAAACAAACAAATTGCATGTAATCTACAATAAACAAGAATATCTATAACAGTAACAGTGTCAATATTCCGTTAATTATAAATATTAAATTGAATTTCATCTAATTTTGTAGATGGTTTTAATAAATTTTCACCAAAAAGGTTAAGTTTACATTTTACATTGTAAACACTGGCACACAATACGTTGGGTAGTTAAAAAAAATATACTCACCAGAACACTGCGGTGCGATGTTCATTCGACGCACACTCGCACGCGGGCCACCGTGTCCGCTGCACGTGTGCGTCGCATCTGTTCTGCGGACAAAAGAAATGCCTTTTTCAAAACAAATTCCGTATTTGCGTACTAGAGAGAGGGGAGGTCGAGATATTTGCGTTCCTTTGCCTTTACAATGCAGGGTACAGCTCTATTCAATCGATGGCTACGTTTCATAGTTAAATGAACTTTACAATTTAAACTTTTTATTATTAATTGCGATAGTTAGGAAACTTTATTATGTAAATAGTAGGCATTTTTGTCTTTAGTGTATAGAACGAGTCAGTTTATCTGATGGTATAATACAATATGCGAACACAGAAAGTATCTGTACAAAATACAAGCTCGATGTTAAACAAACAAATGAAATCGATTCTGTTCAAAGGGTTTCGATTAAATTTCCGTAAGGTCCGCCGGTCAAAGGGCATCCGTAAAGCTCGAAAAACATTCCATTTGATATGCAAATAACTATCGTCTTCCCGGACAAAGGCATGTTTAGATTATCAAAAAGAAATATTTTATGTTATTCTACTATTACGCTTAAAGATAAGAAATGGAACGAGAAAGGGGACATGATCAAGAATGGAGTGATGGAATAGATCGATACGGGGGACGAGAACTTGCGCGCCAACCCTACGTGATTGGGAGAGACAGCAAAATGATTTTGCTTTCAAGATTTTGGTAATAAGTAGATTTGTTCAACTCAACCTTCAATTTGACTATTAAGGATTCCTAAGTGTTAGTATTTTAGATTTTTCATATAAATGGTAAATGAACTCATACGTTATCTGGTAGATAGTAATCTATCTTCAAACTGTTCCGCATTCAATTAAATAAGACAAACAGTAACTATTACAATGTGAATGAACAATGAATGAAGAAATTACCGAATTCAATCTATCTTACTAATATTATAAAGGCGAAAGTTTAGATGGATGGATGGATGTTTGTTAGAGTTTGTAACCTAAACGGCTGAACGGATCGCGATGAAATTTGGCATAGACGTAGATTATAGTCTGGAAGAACACATAGGTAACTTATATTTTTTTTTAATTCCACGCGGACGGAGTTACGGGCGAAAGCTAGTCCTTAACAAATTTCTATTATTGTAAACACACTATTACTTGATATTAAGGAATATGTCTCAGGTATGGCCCAATGCCACTATTTTCCGTTATTGTATGAATGTTGTAATCAGTGTATTTATTTAATTAAACTACGAACGATGCGTGCATTGGTTTTTTTGTTAAATCAAAAGATAACGAACGGAAAGATACGCGGCCTCAATTTCAACGTTACATGTTTAATTTAACGATAGCAATGTAAAGTTAATAAATATCGATAATATATAAGAAATATTAAAACCCAAAAAAAATACATATAGTATTTTTATAAAATTCTATACAATTCAAAGTTATCCAGAGAGTTTTAAAATTATTCATTGCATTCAAGTTGGTAAGGATTCAACCGCTTCCCACAAAAAAATATAACAAAAAAAAAACTCGAAACCAACGACAAACAAACCGAGCTTCTACTTCAAGCATAAACACGACAAAAGCGAAAACAATTTTCGGATTCGCTCCTTTTGAATCTGGCCGAGTTGAAAAAAATATATACCGTATAATTACAGGTCTTTACCTTTGGCCTCGAGACAAGGATAGCAGGATACCGAGTGGTGAAGAGAGAAAGAGACGGAATACAGTAAATAGCGCGTAGCGACGACAAAGCGCGATGATATCGCGAAAATGCGGCCTTTAATTAAAAACTCTAATTTCAAAAATGGAAGCTGCGTAGTCGAAATTCAGATTCGCGGACGTCGACGTGGAAATACTTGGCAACAGTGGAGAGTTCCCCCTCATCCCCCCCCTCGGTGTGTCACTGGCGTAGTCATTCGACAGATTAAAGTGCATAGAATTTTATTTTGCGTGAATGCCACGGACGTATATCAGGGACAAAGTGTAGCGACGTTTTCTAAAACTACTATATCAACTTTTTATAGCGGACTTATCTCGTTATTTTGTAAATTGCGAGTGCAAATGTTGAAAATAGTTTGTCAGTACTCTTGCAAAATTATCCGTAAACCCGGAATTTAAGCGCGGTGAAGTACGACTAAACTTTGCATGCCTAATTATTATGACATACTAGCTGTTGCTCGCGACTTCGCTTGAAATTAAATAGCCTTTGTTACTTACAGATAAATTACCATTCAAACGGTGAAAGAATTTTTAAAATCGACCCAGTAGTTTTTCAGTTATTCCAATTAATACAAAAACACATATTTACCTCTTTATTATATTAGTATTGATGAAAGATGTCTTTAATTGCAAAGGGTTAGTAATTGGTATAAAAAAATACATGAATATGACACAACAAAGTAAAATGTATTCGCAATATTTCTACGAAGGAGGGACTTTTTAAATTAATGTCCAGACCTAAAGAAATAAGAAAATCTAAAGCTAGTAAAATTTCAATAGGACTTATTTAAAAGTACGACGTATTTTAAACGATATAGACAGTTTTTACATCTTCAAGTATCTCATCTTATCTTATGCGAATAAAAAATATAATATCGCAAGTTGAAGAGCCCTTACACCCCCTCCCCCCATCCTATTCAGAATCGCTAGCTACGGGCTACACAGGTACGAAGTGATCTTGAGTAACATTTACTTAAAAGCTAGACGAATTCATTTGAAGCGCTAAATATGAGCTCAGTCGACTTTATTGAATGTCGTCTGCGGTTGACCAGGTGTTCGGGATTATGTAGGATAGTCCTGAAATTAAACGCGCTGGTTTTCATGCATGAACAAAGATTTAATAAATATCATTGTTCAACTTTGTCCACTGGGAATATAAATAAAAAGTAAATAGATTATGTATTTGTCCCGATTATGTTCTCCACCTGTGCCAATATCACCGATACTTTTACATTTACAATATTAGTAATAAGTATGATTTGTTATATTAAAATATAAATGACTATTAATGTTTACTGATATTTTGCAATTACTATTATTTCGCATAGCTCGCATATACATAGAAATCTAAAAAAAAAGGAATAAACTTACAAGATTTGCTTAAAAAAACTCACTCATATTTCTTGGGTATAAAAGGAAAAATAACCTAAAAATCTGCGTGTAATTTTCAAGAAAACATTCAAATATTACTTCTTAATTATAATATGACTTTTCAATTTTGGAAGTAATAATTAAAAGTATTTTATTTTTAAATAATATCTCTGGTATTACAACCCTAGCTGCGGGTACTTTAGCCCCGCGCCGAGGGAGCGCTGCCTAGGATGATGTCGCCTTAATTATTCTGTCTGATAAATTGTACGAGTGACGTACCGTTGTACGGGATGTGTTAGCGTCACATTGTAAATTGTATTTGGCAGTTTGATTTGACATTGTTGGGGTTTACTGTTAATTCTGTCAGGGTTGACGGATATTGAGTCAAGTTAACGAACAAGCGCTTTAAAGTTTACAGGTTTTATGGCAATCCAACAAGCTTACGTTTCCCACGACAATTTACCATGAGCAAACTATAAATAACGAAACACATTAATATGCAATTTATCATAATTGTGTTGAGGAAAACTTTACTCGAATCTCTTATTCTTCGTACCACGTGGTAAGCGTGTGCTGATAACGATTGTAAATTATGAGCTAAATGATCGTGTTAATTTAGTAAAATGCATATTAGTTGAATGTTTAATATTGAAGCATTAAACAGTTGTTAATATATTTTCTTATATTTATATTATAGTACATACCCTTGATAGAACTCTGGTCTACTTTAACTTGACTTTCATAAAAGAACTCATAAATTGTCACTTTAACCAATAAACATATAAATAAACTTTAAATAAAATAAATATTATTCACTGTATCGAAAAAAATCACAAAACAATAATTCACAACGGGCGCACAAATCGAACGCGCAACGGCGACGTTTTCAATCGAATTCAAATTTGAAAATGGAACGCGAGCGCGATCGCGACGGACGTCCGCGGCGCTCAATTAGCGGCAGGACGCGGCCAATCGCGCTCGTTCCCGCGCCGCGTGACGCATGCGCAGTGCCGACGCAGAGGGGGACGCCATGTTGGAAACTAATCACTACATGTAGGGACACCATGACACTAGTCAAATACAGGACGAACGTCCTATACCGACAATTTGAATTTGATGAGATGGATAATCCAAATCTTATGTTTTTCTCTGAAATTATATTAAATAAATATTCAAATATATTGTCATGAGTCAGTTATTTTGACGTAAAAAAAATTACTGTCTGAATTCGTTTAGTGTTACAAAATGACTTTGGTACATTTTCATTACGTTCTGTAGCATTCTTTCTTGTTAACTTTGTGTAATAATACCATACAAGTTGTGTCTAATCTAGTGTTTATCCGGAAAAAATTAAAGGATGGCGAACCTACATATACGCGTTAGGGTTCCGAGTGGCAAATTGAAATCTAAGGGATGGGAGATGTATGAAATTGAAAAGTAAATTCGAAATTATGCGTTAGGGTCGACGCACTCTTGAAGGGATCTGAGTTGAACCATGTGCGTTGTTGGAATTTCCCTTTGAAAAAAATCACTACTATTGTTTCGTAGGTAAATTGCAAGTATAAATTAATTGTTCTGCTTTTATAATCCAGTAATTCTAATAAACAATTTTATTTTTCCTTGGTTTATTCCTACCGAAAAAAAATCTGAAAAAACATGATTGTCTGAGACCTTGAAACTTTTGATATATTCATCTTTAGTATTCCAAGAGTACGGATAATGCATTTCAGTACCTTGAATCGTTTTTTTCTTAAAATTCATAAACAGCGATAAACACCAACCAGACAGACAACAAAAAATATCACAAACAAAAACTGTTAAATTAAACATGACTATTATAAAAAAAGAGTCCCACTTTCGTAATCCAAGCTCACATTATCGGGTATTTGAAATTCCTGTCGGACAAAAAGTGGGACAAAACGGTCTCCCCTCCGATCCTCTATTCATCATGCACACTACATAAATGAATACGATAT